GACAAACTGCTTACTGCTTTCTCATCTCAGTAAAAACTTAGATGAGAAAGCAGTAAGCAAATATTTTCAAATGAAAACGACTATTTTTTTATAATGAGTAATAACAGCGCTCAAACCTGTTGAGCTTCACTTTTTTCACACACTTTATAAACACTAGACTTTGACAGTGACAGGATGACATGAAACTCAACTAGTGAAATCAAAAGCAGCCTAATGTCTCACAGCAGTTGAGGTGAAATAGCACCTTTAAATAGTGCTTTATTCACTCTGTGTGTCAATGACAGGCTAAATTGCCAGGTAAACTGTGATATCTCTTTGAATTGCAGTTAAAGTAACACGTTTTAGTCGTTGGTGTGCTGTGAGAAGCAACTGATGCTTTCCTGTGTTTTCCTGCTCTTCTCTTTGTCTGTGTTTTGGCCGGCTAATCCCCAGCCTGTCACGGAGAGAGGCCTACAAAAGATAGATTTGGTCCTGTGCTCTCCGCAGCTCTTCATTTACAGAATAGACAGCAACATCCTTCCACCCCCCCCCCCTCCCCCAGCACTTTAATCCAGAACGAATAGAGAGACTTTAAAAAAAACTGAAAAAGAGATGAAAGAGGGTCAACGTGGTCAGCAGGATGGTGGCAGGTGAGGGGATGGGAGGTGCTGAGGGCAACGTGCAGGTTGGATGTGCGGTGGGGGTTGTGTATGTATGTGTGTGTGTGTGTGTGTGTGTGTGTGTGTGTGTGTGTGTGGGGGTGTGTGTGTGTGTGTGTGTGTGTGTGGGGGGGGGTAATCAGGAAAGGGGCCACTTCTTCACTTCCTGGAAAATGATGCTGTTTTCTGCAAAGGGAAGATGAGACGGTGGAAAAAGCCACACTGACTGCAACACCTGCTGTTTATCCATCTTATTCAGCCACTTATGGGTCTCCATCTTTCCTGTTTTCTTAAAGAGAAACACACCAGAGGGCTTTGACATCTCCTGCGGGTCAGTCACTCGCAGCAGTATGTACACATGAGCTACGAAATAATAATAAAATATATTTGACTATACAATCACATGGCTGACATGTTGGTCCAGTTTCCTTCTCCATTCCTCAAAAAAACAGAACTGTGTGCAAGACCAGTATCCTGGTTATTACACGACACGGAAAAAAGGAAGGGGAAAAATATCCTCATGATAAGCATCGCCTCGTCCCGTCTGCCTTACGCTGACAGCTCTCTATAAAACGACTTTTGTTTGATGTAATGTTTATTTGTTTATTTGTTTATTTATAAGGAACCCCATTAGCTTCCACAACAGTAGTTGCTCCTCCTGGGGCCCAAACCATCAAATACAATCAAATAAAATATTACACAATAAAGTGGATGCAAAATATCCGCATAATTTGGCTCTTCCATCCACAGTAAGGTTTTACAATATTTTGTGAAAATATAAGCATATAAATATCAATAACACTAAGACAAAATACACAAATTTCCATTACAAATGACATTGCCCTCTTACAATATTTACAATAAATTAAAAGCTGCCTAAATAGGCTTTTAAGTGATTTTTAAAATTATGAATAGAAGCCGGTTCTGTAATTGCACAAGGCAACTTATTCCACTGAAAAGATGCTCTAAATATAACAGAGTTTTTCAAAAAGTTGCTTTTAACTCGAGGAGTTACTAAATTACGGTTTGCTGAAAACAGTGTAGCATGATTATGTTTTTCATCTGGATGCTGCGACTGAGCAGAAAAAAATATGGTGTGTTTAACAGTATTGCTTTCTTTAAAAATACAAGTAAGCCATAGTATAATCCAGCTTGTACAGAAAGCCAAGAACGTTTATTGTGCATTTTATCGATATTTGTATAATATGAACACCTTAACACTAATCTGGCCGCTTTGTTCTGGACTAACTGAAGTCTGTCCAGATCTGTCTTATTAGCTGTTGACCAAATGATTGAGCAGTAATGGTAAATGGTCTGTATCAGTACTCTAGACGAGATAATACTAGTGCATTAATGACACCTTTCATAATTGAAGAAGTAATATAATAGGAGCCTTTCCTAGCCATAGCTATGTCCTGTCCCATTTCCTTAATAACATAGTCGATATGCTGAGACCATGAAAGGTGGTGGTTTATGCTAACACCAAGTAATTTAATCTGGCAGACCTGTTCTAATCCAGCTATCAAATCAAATGCAGCACTAAAGTCCAAGAATACCACCCCGACCAAATTCCCATCATCTAGATGTTTATACCAGTTATCGGTCATATGAATGAGAGCTGAGCTGGTGGAGTGACCCGGTTTGTAAGCATGTTGAAACTGAGTGAGTAGATGATTTTCTGTTAAGCAATGTTGAATTTGTTCATAGACAATCCTCTCCATAATTTTACTCAGAACAGGGAGTAGACTAATAGGTCTGCTATTGACACCATTAAAAATGTCATTCTTGTTTTTAGGAATAGGAATTCTTTTCGATTCTTTCCACTGCAATGGAAATAAGCTGGATGCCAGAGATCTATTAAATATGTGACATATAGGAAGGGATACAAACTTGGCTGCAACTTTGAGCAGTTTACTGTCTATGTTATCAGAGCCGGAGCATGTATCATCAGGAAGTGATATTAATAAACGCTCCGCCATCTCAACATTTACTGTCTCAAACTTAAACTGGCATTGCTTATTATTCATGATAACATCCTGTATAAGGTGGCGTGACAGGGTGGTGATAGGGTATATCCTTAGCTTAATATCCTTTCTTCTTGCATCTATTCAATTTAGTTACTTGATTTCTTAACTCACGATATCTTGCCCACTCTTGTGGACTGACAGACTTATGTGCTTTTACTTTTGCTATATCCTTTTCTGAGATTGCAGCCTTAAGTTCATTATCTAGCCAAGGTGCGTAGTTCTTTTTAACAGTACATCTTCTTTGATGATGTGACTTCTCTAACCAATGCCAGTTAGGCTCCACAGCACTGTGCAGTGAGTACAGGACCCACAAGCCCATGTGGGGCCCTCAGGCCACCATCATGAAATCTGTTTCTGATTGTTTGGTCAGAGACATTCACACCAGTGGCCTGCTGGAGGTCAATTTGTAACTCTGGCAGTGCTTACACTGTTCCTCCTCAGACATAGGAGTAGATACCGGTTCTGCTGATTGCTTAAGGACCTTCTGTGGTCCTCGTCAGCTGTCCTAGAGCAACTGCTGTCTCCTGGAATCTCCTCAATGCTTTTGAGACCGAGCTGAGAGACACAGCAAACCTTTTAATGTGTCGCCCTGGAGGATCTAAGCCATGGACTGGGATTTAATCATGAATCCCTTTATTTTAAGATAATTATTTTACACTATACGATCTTTACACTGTGTTAAAATATAAATGAGCCAAATTACAGTGCCATCTGTGTGGCTGTTACTCCCTTTGTGTCCTGACATTTCTTATGCAGACTCACAAGCCTCTAAAACGCCCCGTTGATCCCAGCAGTCTTTTGTTCTTCTGCTACACCAGAACTTAAGCACAGTATTCCTCTCTGTCATCAAGGCTGTAGTGCTGTCCCAAAAACACAGTCACAGAGTGGGCCTTGTGGACATGTTCCTCCATTATCACAAACATGCCCACAAGAGTTTATTTTCCGGCTGCCACTAGAGTACTAAATCTGTATTAGCGCACATATCTGGAAACAGCCTCTGAAAATGAGACTTCTTTCTTGTTTGTGCAAACAGCCGTTTCAGCTGATTACCTAAAACTTAAAGCCATATTAAATTCACGAGTTTATTTATTTCAAATTGTCCAGTAAAGACAAGACAGACATCTCATTTATCTCTTTATTACAAAGAGTACAAGAATATAAGAGCCAAAATCAAACTCCTTGCAACCAGGAAAAGTTGTTGGTTTACTGGTGATAGTTTTTTTTTTCTGCTGCTGGAGACTGATTGTAAGCGTTTACAGCAACTAGCTTGCCAGCAAGAGGTTGAAGGTGTTGCACATCCATGCAAACGCCCACAGATTGGCTAAGGTTAGCAAACAATTGCCATCTAATTTATACACAGAGACAGACGCCTAACAGTCTGTGCTGATGAGTACAAATCACCTGCGGTGCGTCTCTCTGTAATAGGGGACACGACTCAACTGGTTCTATTTGTGGTTCTATTCCTACATGAAAGCAGGGTTGCTGAGCGCTTACGTCATTTTGTGAAAGAATTTCTATTTTTAAGCAACGCAGCTCTGGCTGGACTCTGAATGTAAGTAATGGATGGGAATTTCCGTTTGTGGAGATGTCAACAGACTTGCAATTTTCTCCGATTTCTCGCAGTTCAATTCAACTTAATTTAAATAGCGTCAAATTAAAACAGCTGCATCAAAGTGCTTTATATTGTAAGGTTAAGACCCGACAATAATACAGAGAAAGCTGAGAGAACCCCAACAATCACACGACCCCGTTTAAACAACAGTGGAAGGAAAAACTGTGGCAGAGCCACAAAAAGAATGAATTATCTTACTTTTATTTAGTGTCACGTTCTGCTTTATGTTAAACACAAGCACAAAGAATTTTCAATTTTGTAAAATGTATAAAAATAAATGTATCACAGTGTTGTAACATTAATACTTACTGTATGGACTTTTTCAGTCTGAAAGGTAAGAAGTTAAAAAGCCGTCCTTCGTTCAGCCGTACCTCACTGTTTAGTCAAGCCAAACCATATGTGTTGGAATGTGGGTTTAAACTGCTTGAACTCAAAGCAACATGGAGTTCTCCGAAATGCTAAGAGTTGCATAAATACCCTTCATGTAAACCGCGTGAGGAATTTAAATTCATTTCACAGAACTAAGTTGCTGCAGAGCACACATCACAAGCTTAGCACCAAATCTCTCCTCATCCAATAGCTGCGAGGAAAATGGAATATTATGATGCACCTGAATAATAATAATGATGATTGCAAGAATTCAGAGTTGCGTTAGAAATTACACTTTACACTTTTTTCCAAATTGGAGCAAAACCTTGAGGCGCTATTAAGAAAACTGAGACTAAGCAGAAAAGTCACTTTGAAAACATAACAAACGTTTCTACAGCACCAAAATCAATCTTTATTCTTCATCAGGTATTAAATACTTTCCACAATACAACCAGCTCTTTTCTAAAAGGATAGTCTAAGCCCGTTATTATCAAGAAAAAAAAATTCTTATGATCAAAGTGTTTAAAAAACAAAAAGTAAGGAAATTTAAACATGAATGACATCATTTCCTGTAAAGCTCAGAGGATGTCAAACGCCAGGCCCTCCACATATCACTTTAAAATGATAAAAAACTCCCCCAAACATCTACACACAGATATTTTGGCTCATTGATGCACATTCTGATATAATCACAGTTCTAACAGCAAGTCTGTGCTGACCGATTCAGCTGAAGGTAAAACAGTGACAGCACATTTCATTTTGTCAAAGGAGGGAACACTATCCTCATTTCACTGGATGGAACTCAAAGCACTGAGGAAAACAACAAAAGACATTAAACAGCTCAATCTGACTGCGCATGCTTTCCTCACGAGGGCATTTATTATTGATTTTAGAAGGAGCCCTACAAACACAGTAAACAGAAGCTCCTGGAGTAAGTGACACGAGATATATACCCCCCACCAGTGTGCACATCACATTATCTGAAACCTCAAAAGTTAGAAGCTGAACTCTGTGTGCTAGTGTTAAATAACATCCCCGCTTTCATTTCAAGGTTAGAGTTTCCATGCAGCCAACACAGTTCAAATGCAATCATGCAGAGTTCCTGATGTTTGGCCTGGATGAACGTAGAACTACACACAGGGGAAACCCCCCCCCCGATTTATGGTGATAGTGTCAGTGTTGGGCTACCACACATGCGGGGGTCCTGCTACATCATGACTGATCGAAGGTTCAGACAATCAGAAATGCTTTCAGAGTTTACTTCACTCCATTTGACCTGGACACCCACACATGTGGCAGTCCAAGATAAATCAAACTACAGACGACAACGTAAAGTGAAGCGAGCTGTGCAAACAAAGGAGTTAGTGACTGAGTAACAGAGCGATTTGACACAAAAGCACAAAAAATAGTTAAAAACTTTCCTTCACGGCGGCTTGTGAGAGTGAGGACTCCTCATGACTTGACTTGTGTAATTTAGGTTCACTTGCACATCATGTTTCCACTGTTGTGGGTTACAGAGGCACTGCCTTATTAGAACTGTATCACTGTTTAGTGGCCAATTTCTTTTAATGATTCCAGTTACTGCTTCAAGAAACAGTTACAAATGTTCCATCTCCAGAAACAGGAAAATTAACGTGTTTTATAGTATTTAAGTTAGAACAGTCAAAGATCGGAAGCAGTTAATGTTAGGCATATGTTGTTAAATGTGTGAGGTTAAATATGCGTTTCAGTGACACGGTGCTAACAAGTTTGGTAGAGGCACACATGCCCTGCTTCCTTTCAGGCCCACCATAAAGCTACTGGAAAACAAACAGGGCTTTTTACATTGCTAATGCTAAGCAGAAGTACTTCAGCACTGCTTCTAGTAACAGATCTACATATCTGGGAAATGGTGACGATAAGAGGCATCTCCCTCTAATATTTGTGAATTTAACTTAATGTATGACGCTACAGCTGAAGTGACTCTGACACCTTAAGCTGAGCCTTTCTGCTTCCTCTTTCAGTCTCTGTGCCAAACTAAGCTAACTTCACATGTTCACAAAATATGAAGATGACCTTGTGATGTAAATTGAATGTTAGCTAGCTGACATGTGCTTTTAATCAAAGAAAATCTCCCTGGCATTAATGTTTGTCTGGAATTTTCCGGTTTGGACTGCTGGCGCTCACGGTCTCATATTACGCTGAAACAGGTGGAGAAAAACTTCCGGCTGAGCAAAACCCAATGTTTGTCTTTACTGCAGACTTTCTGCCGCTCCGTGTGGTGTAGAAATCCAAACAGGCACTCCCCGTATCACTCCAGCATTTGAAAAGCCATCTTCTGAGACATGGGCGAGGATGTCTGATACGACCACATCACAGGGAAGCCTTTGAGTTAAGTGCCAGCTATGATGTGATACTTCATATTTTGGGCAGTATGACAAAACTGCTGAGTAAGTCTCTCAGTATAAGGCATAATCCAGGAGCCATGCCAGATCCAAAAATAGTCTGTGGTGAGTAACAATGATTGCTCACCAGACCGCGCCGTGCTATATGTGCACTGCGACTCTTAATTTGGTCTTTTTTGGCAGGAACAGAACAAAAGAAGAGTTTCCTCAGCTGAGGTTCAAAGCCTTAAAGAGGAGGTTGGAGGTCAGACCACACAGAAAACTTCATGTCCAGAAAAGACATCCACCACTTCGCCACTTGGACAGAAAGATTCGATTGGACTCGTGTCACAGACCGGAAGCCTCTGAATGATGGTAGGCTCCGTTCACCTGTTATAGATGAGAATAAAACAAAAACCTGGGTTAGCACAGATCACTCGAGCCAAAGCTGGTAACACTAAAGTGATTATTGCCAACACAAAGAGAATTTGACTTATACTACGGTGGCCCTGAGACGTCAAATGCACTGCAACAAAGACATAAACAAAGCCTTACAAAACACAACAGAAGTGTTGTGGGGAGACAATAATGTGATGGAGCAGCTGCAGAAGGGACATGCTAACAGGAAGTAAATTATTCATGAATCACAACCCACCCTCGCTTTCATTCAGGTCTCTTGTGCTGTTTTCTTGATATAGCAAAGTGTCAGGAAGCTGTATTCCTCGTACCAGGAGGGGCAGGCTGTCCTGTTAGCTGCTGTACGTGTTTTAATAATGCAGAGAAAAATTTGTGGGCAGTAATCTGACTACACCTGTCAGAGCCTTTCACAACTTCAAAGTGTTCTACTGTCAGAAGAGACGGCAGCAGTGTTGGGTGTGGCATGACTGCTTTGCTCTGCTGGTAGAATAATTACACTGATAAGCTAAAGATTATGTCAACACGCTAACATTAAGAAAGATTCAAGTTTTAGTTAAGCAAAAGATCTTCTTACTGAATATACAAGCACAAAAACATGAGTGTGAATCAAGGTGTGAGTGTGCAGCCGAGTTGAGTAAAGGATACTGGTTTTTCAGAATGTGTCTGCTTTGAAATTTTATATTCGGGCTCCATGTATGACAGGGAAATAGCTGATTGGCTACTGTTTTTAAGTTTTCTATTTTTTTACATTTATGTGTTATTATTAAATGCTGAGCTTGTAAACTTTTCACAAAAACTTTAATTAGAAACATCACATAAAAAGGACAGCACGGTTATTGAACGTTAATGATGATTTAAAAAAATAATACATTTATTCAGAGTCTAGAATGTCAGGCCAAGATGTTGTGTCTGCGTGGGGTGTTGTAACAGGGAGAAACATCGGTTTCATCAATTGACCAGAATATTACGCCATGTAGACGTGTTGGTTCATCCCTCGGCTACATGGCGACAGCATATTGAGAAAGAAAATTAAAAGTGGTTTTGAGGCACATTTTGATCCACTTGAAAAAAAACAAACAAAAAAACAACAACATGCAGCTTTAGATTTAGGTAGCTCAAGTCCAAGCTCAGAGTGGAGGTCAGCAGATATTCATGTGCAAAAGAAGGTTTTCACAGGACCATGTAGTTCTGTGAAAAACCTTTACTGCTTCCATAGGAATTTAGAGGGTAAGCAGCAGCCAGATGGTGCTAATCAGACGCTTGTGATGAGTTGATTTGCAGTAACTGTGAGCACTTTGTAAATGAAGACATTCTGGCAGTTTGCTGTTCCGGTGCGTTCAGTTGTGCATCTCAGGAATGAACATCGCAGCATTCGGTCTAAAGTCAAACTGTGCAATGCTCAGAGAAATAACAAAGAGAGCTGCATCTCAGACTCTATAATGTAAAAGTTGGTGATGACGGTACAGTTAGAAAAAGACTAAAAACTACTATAGCTTGTTTGGGGAGATGCTGGGCGACAGCCTCTTCTCTGTAAAAAGACCACGGCAGCACAGCTTAGATTTGCAAAGCTGCATATAAACAGAGCAAAACACCTGTAGAACAGATGAGACTCAAGTGGAGATGTTTGGCCATAATGGACAGCGAAACATTTGACGAAAACCAAAACCTCTCATACCAACTGTCAAGGATGGTTGTAGACAGGTATCGATTTGGATGATGATTCGGCCCTCAGGACCTGAGCACCTTACAGTCACTGAGTGGATGATGGACTCCTCTGTATATAGAAATATGATAGAGGCCATCTGTCTGACAGCTACAGCGTGGCTGAAAATGGATCATACAACAGGACAATGATCCCAAGCATATAAAACGAGCACATATCCACATTTGAGCCATTTTTACCAAAGCAACTGTCTAAGAACTAACAGCACCTCATGACAACAAGAGCCAGAAAACAAATAAAGGCATAAAAAGGCCAAAAATTAATGAAGTTAGATTATGTTTACTCAGAAGGATTTTAGCTGTAGACCAGTGGGGGAAAAGCCCCCACCCCACAAATTTCCACAGATTGTCAAAAAAAGTAATAAAAAAAATTTTGAGAGAAAAAAAAAAAAAAAAAACTCCTTTTGGATGTGAAAATACGCCATTTAAACTTGTAATCAAACAAGTTCTGTGCAAGAAGAATATTTACATGATTACATTTACACAACAGCTCATCTATTCTAGGCAGTGTGCCTTGAAAAGGCTTATTAGAGCATTAAAAAGAAATAATAGATTCCACTTTAGTCAAACTCTGACAAGCAAAGCTAAAATAAATGTGGCCAAATGTGAGAAATGTGAAAACAGCCAACAGTACTAAAGACAAGTCGATCCGAGGCCATTTTGAGAGCCAATGGTGAAATGCCAGCAGGTGTTGTGAAATGAAATAAGTCTACCAACAAAGAATGAGGCAAGTTTCACTTTTTTGTTTTCTAATAAAGGAAAATGGACGGCTGGTGAGTGGTTACATGAGCGATACCATCTCAATTTCCCTTTTGAGAAAATCTACAATTATCTAAGCTCAGTGGTAACTGTAGCCAACTTTCTTTCACACGTCATATCATCCTTACCATTCTGGTGTAGGCTCTGGAACACGGCGCACTTTAACCCCCATTTCGCCCCTAAGAAGCTTCAAACCTGCAATACGGGGTTTATTTGACTGCTACGAAAAAAAAAACTGTGGCATCATCTTATGAGTTTAAGGACACAACCTCTGTAGTTAGTAACAGCGCAAATAGAGTTTTAGTGAAAGCCCTGGTTCCTACTTTTAGGTATAAACGAATGCCAATTCTGTTCTGAGTCTGCTGTGAGAGTTAACGACTGATCAAACTGGCCGAGGTTTCCAAAGAGATTCCGTTTAAGAATTTACCTCCTGGTTAGGTTCAATTTCAGCAAACAAAGAGAGCAATTACTTCCTGGACTCCATCAGCACTGTAATTAAGCTCAGCAGGACAAGTGTTTCTGGGTAGGTGTCAATATAAACAATGTTGCCCAGGTTGTTGGCTGTGCTGAAAGTGGAAAATACATTGTTGTTCCAAAAAATTGATTCTGTGTCTTGATGCATCAGGACACTGTTGGAGTTCCATTCCCTGCAAAATGCTGAATCTGAAACAATGATACTTTATTGTACAGGTAACCTCATGTACAAGTGCATTTTCTCATCTACCAGTAATTATTACAGCTCCGTGACCTCGTGTCTTTATTCATAACTACCCCGAGTAACAAAATATGAAAACAAGCTTGTTACTGCTGCAATCCAACATCAATAAGTGGACATCCACAGTGGTTTACAAACATATCAGCTATTCAAAAAAAACAAAGAAAAAGTGAATTATTCTAAAGAAACGGAGGATGCAAGAACGTTTTTTTAAGTTCGAACTGCATCAAACTAACAAACCAGACGTTGTTTTTGATTCTAACTATGCTTCCTCAGGGTTTGACATTTCCTCAGTACTCAAAATAGGGGCAACGCTGACGTTCTACTCTGACAGTCTGTTTTAGCTGATGCCACTAAAGAACATCCAAATGTTTACGTCGTTTCATGGCAACTCAGTGAATACCAAAAGGAAACACGCTTAAACATGTGCCATCAATCGGTCATGTTTCCCCATATTTTAGCTCCGAGTATAAACAGACACCCACAGTTAATAATAAAAATATTATTAATAACACTTTTTATTTATTACAAGGTAAACAAATAAAAAAACAACTATAAAAGCTAATCAAGGTAAACATCGACAAGACCAAGTCAAAATGAAGGGTATGCAGTTCTGAATAGATGGGTTTTAAGACGCGATTTGAAAGTAGAGAGAGAGATTGTAGTCCCGAAGCAGGATCTGAAATTGACACGTAGGTGAACTGGAAGCCAGTGGAGTTAATAACAGGTGATATACGTTCATTAGATCCAATTCTGGATACAATACAAGCAGCTGGAGTTTGAACTAACTGCAGTTTATGAAGAGATTTATGAGGTAGACCACAGAGAACTGCAGTAATCTAAACGAGATGTGACAAGAGCACTGAGTTTGGTGCTGTTTGGAGTAAGTGAAGGACGAAGGCGGGTAACGTTACCAAGATGAAAACAAGAAGAGCGACTGATATTATTTACTGATATTACACTCTTAACCTGAGGGGCAGGTGTGACGGCAGAGTCATCAGTGGATAATCAAAAACTCCTCACCTGCTTTTCTTCAAACATGCCAGTAAAAAAAATACATCAGCTAACTTTTCTTAAAACGATAAAAATCTTGATTAATCAAAGTTATTGATAATTATTTTGTCCATTTAGTAATCACAAAGCATCCAGGGCATTTTAATTGAGGTTATAGTCAACGGTTTAACAGGTGAAATTAAACCTGGAGATGAAAATAAAAGACAAAGAACAACAGAAATCATTTCCACCGTCTCTGGTTTACATCAGGAAGAGGAGAATAGAAAAGGGAAAGTCTAGAGATTTGTCTCGTCTGTTGATCCCTCAAATACAACTGATGAAAAAAAGAACGTGAATAGAAACACACAAAGGTTTGTGTGATTTCAGGTTTATCCGAGACATCAACAGGAACATAGCCTACCTAAATATTTCTACTAAAACAGCATCAGCCAGAGAGCTGACGTGAGGCTAAACAGGGTTACGGTCCATCCTTCGGCATCTGAAAATGCAAAACCGATGCTTACAGGGAGGTGGAGACACACAAACTCTAATTTATCAAAGGAAGTCAGTTACTGGCTCCAAACATCAGCGCTCCAAATGTAGTGACATATTTTCCAAGTTAAGATATATTAACTGGGATAATCTGCTGCAACTTCCAGATGTTTCTGACACATCAAATTATTTTGGCAGGTCGCTTGTAACTTTAAACCACATGCTTCAGCACCTGAGCTATATTTTAGTCATCTAGAGAAAGTGGGACCAACTTTCTGGTGTCTACATTAGAATTTCTAGCCACTACTTCAAATGAACCCTAACTCTTACAGAGGAAGGCGGAGGGGTTACCACAGCTGCACCCAACTGACATACTTTGCCTGTCACAGTAAAGTCAGAAAGCTAAAAAAAGAAAAACTGGCCCAAATTAGATGTTTTACAAAGTACTTTAGTAATGGTCAGACTATAACCACATATGGCTAAACTATAAAATGTTAAAAAGTTTTCAAAGTGGCAAAAGCTGAACCACTTTCCAGTATTAAAACACTCTGTTCTAATATCACATTAGGTAGGCAGGTAGTAAAAATAAGAATAATTAGGGAAAATAATCACTGAATGTCACTTCTGAACCTCTGCAAATCGTTGAGCTCCCACCGCTGAGTGAATCAGCCTACAACATTATCTGATGTGCTTTCATTTCCTGTCTATTTAATGGTTGACCTTCCGTGCAGTTAGCCACAACAAGGTAGCAGGATGAAAAAACAAAACAAAAAACCTTCAGCATTACTCAGTGGCTGATTTACACCATTCATTTCTACTAGGTTAATGTAGCTCTATCCATCTGCAATAACATACTGTGTGGCAAAGGCAGAACACCTGCTGCTTTATACTTCAGATGCATTGCTGCTGGTGAAGGAGAGCTAATTAGATGAGCAATAATTGGATGGACGTCAGCTTGATTATGTTAAAATAAATAGTTGAAACCTGTGTGGGGTTTTTAGAACAAACGTTTGGGCTAGTTTTGAGAGCTTTATCAAATCCTTTATGTATTTTAGCAGTTACCTTTCCAAAATGATTCAAATCACTTTGAAAGATATCCGTGGATCATGTGCAAACAACATAGGACTGAGTTATGGATCTCTCTGTTATTGTGTTCTTACTCGTGCATCGTACTCCAAGACAAATGGAGGGATATCGAGCTGCTCAGGCTTGATGCAGGTGAAGAGCTGTTGCAGATTGTCGAGGTAGCGGACCTTTTCCTTCATGCCAGATACACTGAAAGTGGTGAAGAACCATGTTGAAACCTTGATTGAGACAAGTGAAGAAAGAGAATGGATGTGTGTGAAGAACCGTTCATCAGTTTTTAAAAACATTCAAGCTTGATTTTGCATTGCCAGGACACCAGTCATGCAATAATCAAAGAATAACTGAACACAACAAAAACAGAAAACTGAGCAAGACTGAACTTTAATGAATAAAGAAAAAGTTATCAAGAAACCAGATAAACCAGAAGTTACCTAAAGAGGAAAATATTTTCTGGATCAGTGTGGTAGGAATGTAAGGACTTAGATTAATAACAAAAGCAAAACGCTCCTGGTTGTCTGCCTTTTACAGATGTGTGGTTCTGTTAACTTCATCAGGCAGTGACCTCGAGCTTGCACTTTAGTGGTTTGCAGCTGGGATGAAAACTAGCACAAATCTCCAAATCTGAGGCCATGTTTTTTTTGACGGCAAAACGGTGGAGTCCCAACTTTGTGTCAGGATGAGTTGCTGATCCAAGTGGAGGAGTTTAAGCATCTCATGGTGTTGTTTGTGAATGAGGGGTGAGGGGAGCAGGAGACTGACAGGCAGACTGGTGCGTATGATGTGTCGGTGTGCTGTAGTGAAGAAAGAGCCGAGCATGAAAGCAACGCTATCAATCTACAGGTCAGTCTACATTCTTACTATCACCTGTGGTCACGAGCTCCGGCTAGTGAACAAAAGAATGAGGCAAGCAGTGGAAATAAGTTTCCACTGAAGGGTGTAAGGCACAGCATTTTAATCTTAAATGTATAAATATGGCTTTTTAATGTCTTGTGCTCACTCTTTTTCTTACAAAAAAAGGATAAAAACTTGATCAAAATCATCTGAAATACAATAAACTACACAGACAAGGTTTGTTTTCATACATTTATACATTATCAACTGAAATATAAATGTTTTTACACAGGCCTGTATATTAAATAAGCTTTGCAGAAACTGTAAATAAAACCATCCCTTACCTTCGAGCGGAATGTTGGATGTACAAAGTAGAAAGCCATCAAATTTTTTTTATACCTGCAAGAAATAAAGCAGAACATTAGTGGAATAATACTTCTCAGCAACCCTATGACTCATTATTCTGGAAATCAAACATAAAATTAAAAAACCTGTATTATGAAATGAAAATGATTGATGTTCTGAAAGAGGAGACACAATGTTTCTGTGGCCGTTTCCAAAGCCACACATTTACTGTCCCACAAAAACACCACTTTACAATCAGCTCCATCCTGTACATTAGCATGGACACATTTACCACATGGAAGTGCCAAATGTTTTTCCAATGCTTGGTTATTTATTTGATTGAACAGACAGGTAGTTAGACAATTAATCGACAGTGTCAGCTACAGCAGCTGTCATACTACAATGCTGCTTTACGCTGCTTTGATCAGACAACTTTAGCCATAAAACTGTGCCAAACTGTCTACAGAAGGAAGCTAATTTTAGACACTTGTCTCCATCTACTCGTATCTGAAGCTCAGTCAAAGCAGCCAAAACCACAGATGGCTCACCAGTCTGTCAGTCTCACGCAACCAACTCTCCCTGATGGAAGAGGGGCCCGAGAGGCATCTACATTTGGGAGGAACTCAATTTCAATCACCATTATTTAACTACAGACCATGTTCCAATGAAGCAACAGAGCCACATCACTGGCAAAGACATGACATGTAAACTTGAGGTTACCAAACCGGTATAAGCCTGTTATGTCTGCCATTCCTAAGTTGCTGGAGTCAACTCCCGCATCTCTGTTTTCAAGACAGAAGCAAACAAATAGACTGTGAGACTAACAAACAAATCAGGGGTATATCCCAGAGTAAGAGAGCGCCAACTAAAACTGTGGGTCAGTTACTAGTTACATGTGTTTAGAGCCAAATTCCTCGTATTTCTGATATTCACTAATTCAGATGATATTTTAAATTAATGTGCTGCATCTGGAAGTTCTTCTTGATATTGTAGGAATCAACCATCACACACAGATGTTGAGTCTTCAGGGTGAGGTTCAGATTCAGGTTCAGATTTATCCAGAGAGAACACGTTTGTCCACACAGTCCATGCACTTTAACTTTACACTCAACATTTCCACTTTACTCTTAAAATAAAACACATAAATTAAATAATAATAGTAAGCTCTTGCCCTGTAACCCCGGCCCATTTGGATGCTGCCAAAAAGTTCTTGCATTCTGGAAAACTCTGGAAATAGTGCCGACCTGAACTTCCATCCATACTAAATTTGCTTGTGTTAAGAAAAACCAAAACATTGGTCCATCAGAGGAACACACAGGAACTTTTCGTAATCCAAATAATTCAAACGTACAAAACCGTGACTTGTGGCCTTCTGCACTGGTCCAGAGCCGGACCCGAGGATATTTAAAAATAATCACTCTCGAGTCCATCGGTCTCCTGCTAAATGCAGACAACATATACGCTTCCAAAACTGTGGATATGTTCAATCTGGCGAGAGTCTGTTGGTTAGGTAATTTGAAGCTAACATGCATCTGCAGTCAATCAATAGCCAAATAGCCAGACCAGGGTTCAATATCACGATGCCAAACCAAAAAACCCCCAAAACAAAGCAACTGCTTGAGAAATGTTGCAGAGAAAGAAAAATACTCCTAAATGAAAACAGCTAGAACAGAAACTGTAACTGTTTAGAAGTAAAGTGATCCCTGAACGTGATGTGCGTGTGTTCCTCGCCCTGCAGAAGAATGAGGACACAAAGTTCCCTGAAAAAAGGCTTTGATTGTCTCTGTGACTGACAGGCAGCACAGTTCTTGTGCTTTAAACACAGAGCTCTGCCAGACCCACGCCCCTGCTAAATGACAAACTTGTTAGCAGTCATCATTTTCTACTGCAGCCAAAGTACAATATCCAAGTCAGAAAGTGTACAAGCAAACAGATAACCTCAGCGTTTTTTGTTTCACATTAAATGAGCCTTTAGTAGAGGGCAGACTGTTGTCTGGGTTTCGTTAGGTCCAGCTAAAAGTTTGCAGAGGTGGTGGAGCCTAAACATCCCTAACATTTTAAGGCTGCACTGATGAATCAGCAGAACACAAACGTTCGCCCTCGTCACTTATGACTGAATGGGGGTTTCCTGTTCCGATGAAAGGGGAAGCTGAATGAAGGCGTCTTCATTCGCATTTAAAGACTCTGTGAAAGCAAGGTTTGCTTTTTTTTTTTAAATTCCCTTTTCCTGCCTCACTGAAATATATCGCGTAACCTGCATCTGACACCCTTAGGGTAAATTTATCACACAACATAAAGGATAAACATCAGGAATGTGCTACAGTTTCAGTTTTCTTTATGAAGGTTAAGAAAGGTGTTGTGAAACCGACAGAATAGACAGTAAGAAAGCAATGAAACCTGAGAAACACAAGCGTGGAAAGGTACGTCTTGACTGCATGGAGTTTCCCACTGACACAGGAAGCAAGTTTGGTTTCTAGTAACCAAAACTAAAAAGAGATGACAACTATAAACGCTTCTCCTACCCACCGAGTACCTGAGTTTCTCTAGGTTTTTCCTTTGGTGGCTTCCAGTTAACAAAATTTCAACCCCTTCTTTTTTTCCAGTTACATTTAGATATTGTGTGGGTTTCATGTGTGTGTTGATGTTTATGGACACTAGAAATTTGTTTAATCTAGTTTCAAGTGCTAGTTTTAAATCAGTAGTAGTAGGATGATTAAGACGTACACTTAAACCTAACTCTAATAATATCTACTGTATGACCACTCATGTCTGTCTTTATTAATTTTGGACACATAACATTCACAAACAGGGGAGTCTGCGTGGATAGAGGAGTCACTTCAGAACAGTGAAGCTGTAGGTCTACTCTGATCTCTGAATAGAAGTCTAGATCTTTCTGGTTTCCATTTGGAAGATGTGGCACGACGAAAATATTCATAAATGGTGAACTTTTCAGGAGATCTCAAAGAGATCAAACAGCATCTGCCTCCATGTGTATCGAGTTCCAATGTGATGGTGCACAATGGACACGTCATTGCTCAACAGAATGACTGATTCAGGTCCAAATCCATTCTGCAACCTCAGTTATCACAAAGTCATGTCTGACAACAACTTTTCAGAGCGCTGTCTTTGAAAGGTTTATCCAGTCTCAGTTTAGAACTCGTTTGAACTCTTTGAGGCCAAGGCAGAGCCAAGTTGCTTGGCCTCAAGTCACCGCGAGACTTCGCGCCAACGCCAACAATGAAACAAATGTGTTTCACAGCTTGTTTGGCTTTTCCAATCATCTAAACACTGTAACCTTGGTGGTATCGTACTGTGGCACGAACAATGTTTCTCAACTTTAATGCAGCTGCAGAGGCTAAGAGCAAGAGCCAACGAACACCAAATAGGTCAAATGAAAGTCAACTCTAAATGTTTGTATGACCTAATATACAAAATGTTAAACACCTTGATTTAGTTCGAAAAGTGGACCCTTTGTCATGTTGATACAAAATGACCGTTAGATTGATTTAAAATCCAGTAAGCACTATGCTGCATGGAAGAAAATATGAAAGCGGCTACTATAATGACTTAATCATAGTATCGTCATGGCCTTTGAGAGAGAAAAGGAGTGAATGAGAGGGGAATTCCCAAAGACCGTCTTTTTTACACAACCTCTCTCTGTCTGATTCTTTTTTAAGTTTTGGTTAGTTAAGACTGGAGAAGTAGTTGGCCAACAATGTCAGCCAAATCTAATTCTACTTTAAACATATATTGTAAACCCAGATGACAACAGTTCTGGATGGAAAGCTGAAGCAGACTGTTCTTACTCAGTGACTCAATGCCAGAGGAATAAGACAAAAACTGGAACTAAGTTAATGCCTTATCTATTCAATGTTCTCTTCCACTTCATATCTGATTTAATGTTGGTTTTCCAATATACTTGACATGTTTTAATTTAAAAGATGGAAGGCAAATACTTTAAAAAATTGCAGTCATGCCTTTAGCTCAAGGTTTAGATTAGCCACAGGCTCAGTGTAATCAGGTGAGTAAAATGTCAGACTGACTTGACGTCAACGATGTCGTAGAGTTTCTTCAGGAAGTCGGTGTCCAGATGGTTATGCTCTCCGGTCAGCGTGTGAAAGTAAACCATAACATACTCCTTCACTGTGATGTGGTCCATTACATGGATGAAGTACAACAGCGCCTACAGCACACGGGCAGAGGAAACAAAGACACAGGATTACTGAGAGTATTTATTTACTTACAGTTCTGTTAAAAACCAGATCACCCACATCTGATACATTTTCTTTTATAGTTGCAGCTTTTCCTATTTAAAAACAGATATATTGCATTTTGCAACAGGTACTGAGGAGTAAAATCAAACGTGCAGTGAACAAGGTTAAAAGCAGATCAATGTGACCTGTGCTTGCTCACACGTATTGCATTATTACGAGTACACGAAAAAATTAATCTGCACCATCTGTTACGGTGAGGTCCGACATGACTAAGATCACTAAAAGTGCTTCACTTTGACATACTGGCACACGTTACCTTTTCAAGGTCAATGAGGGTCACGGGGATGTTTCGTCCAACCACGACCATCACCGTCCTGCCACATATATCCACGCCTGGACAAATACACAGTAAAGTGTAAAGACACTCAGACCCTGCAATTTTGTATTAATTGAAATATAGTATCACAGTATTGAAACAGAGCTGCAGATGTAGTAAGTGAGAAGTGTGGAGATACAGTCTGTGTTTGGCCCTCTGCCTACAGAGGTCATCTGGCCAACACTGAGTAATAGTTTTCCAGCAGTTCAGCCTCTGCGTCTGTGACTATGATCTGGACTTTTCGCTTGTAATCTGCAGTGATTTGGAAAGCTGACTTTTGGATAAAACACTCCAACTGTAATGTGCATTAGTGGCTGTATGACAGCCTTTGTTTCTTACTTGAATGCATACAGACCTTCTACTTGTGTAGCATCACTACAAAATGTAAAATGTTTCTTTTGCATATTTCTCTAAGACAGTCAACAACATAAAGAACATTTTTTTTGGAAAGACTTTTCTTGTGATACAAGTAAAATACATTAAATATATAGTTTTAAATTAAATATTCTTTAATTTAAAACTATATATTTAATGTTAAAGCTTAAATGTACCCACCTCAAAACACGGCCTGAAAGTTCAAACAGGTTCAACCTTTGCCTCACTTGACATCAGCTGAGCTAATTGGTGCTCAACCTCGTCCTGGACTGTGTGAAACAACACTGCCTCCTACTGGTGATGACAGTCAATTGTGCCTTAGAGAGGATGAATTGCTTTCGCTCTTCATGCAGAGGCGAAACAAACTCTCAGGCGAGCACCCTTACAATACACATGTCTGAAAACTGTCTCTTGGTTCCTGGTTTTGTTTCAGATCTACATTCAGACGTTGAAAGACTCCTTCAAAGATCTAATATGCACGTCCCATGCTCAAACACCTACCAGTCTGGTACAACGCTTTCAGCGCGGCGATGTCTGACAGGTCCTCTGCTCTCGCTCGACACAGCCAGCGACCGTAGCTGCAGGATTAAAACAGAAAGAGTATCTTAAATATATGCAACAATTAGCGGTTACACACATGCTATAACTACTGCCTCTGTAAATTACTGCCAAAACATCTACTAAAAACCTATAAAAACCCCAAAAAAAACTAAAAAGAACTTTAAGTGTGATCATGAAAGCAGCCGAAACGTAGCCGTTCAGAAATGTTTCAGTAAAATTTTAAGTGACAAACACTTACAGTGCAAACTGAAACAACATCAGATAGAAATACTTCATAAATAGAGTAATTCAAATTGTACTTATTTACAGTTTAGTAACTGAAGAAAATACTGCACTTGATTTTGCACGTGAAAACTTTAATACAGGCAACGTCAATGTTAATACAAGTGGAAAACACTTGAAGTATTATGTTATTACATTTATTTAAAGAAAAACATTTGAAAGCATCATCGAGTTATCTCACAGTTTGCTTGGACTCTTACTTTCTCTGGTGTTGCTTCTGCATGGCTGCCTCAGACATCTGTCCCTGTAAAATCTGTTTCCGCTGTTTGTCTACGTCGCCCTCCATCCGGGCGAAGGCGTGAGTCCCAACCTGACCCAGATCCAACTCCAGGCTGTCCTCTTCACATTCATCTAGACAAGCCAACAGATAAGACATCGTAATGAAATGCTGAACTTGCATCCGATACTACTTACAAAAAATAATTAATCCAGTTAACTCTGGCTTTTTTAAACGATCGTTTCCCCTCAAAACACTATCTGTGTACAAGTTTTAGCAAATTATAAATGCAGCAACATTCTCATGGGTTTGCTTGTTTGTCCGTATTTATTTTATTACACAGATTCCAATTCATCTGCAAGGATGCCGTTACACGTGTGTGAAAGCGCTGCTATGAAGTCATAAACTCAGCTGACAGATTCCAGGCTCGGGTTCAAGTCTGTTTCATTCCTTGTTTCTCCAAGACCACATGCACTGCTGCATGCATGTCTGTGCATTTTATCAACATCCAAACGGACATGTGCATCTGTCAGTGTGTATACATCAGCCTGTTGTTATTGGGTTTCACTCGCAGGCAGCCTGCTTGCTTTGGATCAACACCCCAAAGCCACATGTCGATGCTTTGAAGCATCAGGCCAGCAGGCACCACACTTGAGGTCAATGGAGGCAAGAGGCTCAAAATGGAAACCACAAACACTCACTAACACATGGGCTGGTGTTACTTTCACAGGCCTCTTCACCAAAACCTAACATTTAGGGTGCAAGCAAAGGCTTAGCTGAGGTAAACTAAAGAGGTCATACAAAATCCAGTTTATGTGGAGGGTTTAAAAACTCAAAATATCTGTTTGTCCTTTGTGTTTTTATTATTTTGCTATTTCTACAGAACCGTTGGGCCTCGATTACTTTCAATAAAGACTACTTGGTCTGCATTTAGCTAGAGGACAAATAAAAATGTTGGGAGACTAGAAAAGCTTTGATGTGCTTCAAAACAGTTTCCCTATTTAGAATTCTGAAAGTTTCTCGAATCTTCCTTTGTTTGATAGTCGTGTGCTGATCACATCAAACTCTTTCTTTTAGGAGAACACTTTTGTTCAAGGGCTTTGAGACAATCATTGTGACGAGGCATTATGCTGGTTAAAATCTGCCTGCGATACTTCTCATGTCCTGTCAGTGCTTTACTACAAATAAAACAATCATGTCCTGACACTTCAGGAGCCTGAAGGCAGATGCAGTCTGACTGACTCACAAAAACAACCTGAGCTCTAAGTTAATCATTATCCAGAGTGTCATCTTCACACTGTATTTAATGATTGAGCTCAGATGTTTTATGGTTCGGTTGGTGAGTGAGTGACAAACAACATGAATGGCTGACAGCCTAAAAAGCCAAACGGCTGACTGCTCGGTCAGACTATTTCAACTTGACAATTAAGTCCTTCAAATGAAAAGAAAAGCTTTTATTCTACAAATTCAAACTACAGGGAAGAAATGTTTTGTTTCTTTTCGACTGAAATGAAAGTGAAGCATGTTGTGTGTCCCTTTCCGATTTCAGGAAATTGTTCATCACATTATTGAGAAAGAAAAAAAAAAAAAGAAGGCTGCACCTTCAATGCTTCCTGGTTTCTCTGTGATGCGGATCCGTCTTTCTGGAACCACTGGTTCACCCTCAGAATTGCCGATGTCAGCTGGGATGAGAGGTAGGCAAGCCTTTTCTTCTCCCTCAGAGCGTGGGTAGTACAGAGGGAGTAACTTCTTGAACACAGACTGAAAGAGCACAAATATGAATATATATATATTAGTGATTAATATGCACATGGCTAACTTAATACAGCTGGTTTTAAATAAGAGGAACATGCAGGTTCAGTGTTTCCTGTTGGTCTAAACTAAAGACAAGAAGTCAAACAAACCTCCTCTGTGTCTGAAACCGCAAACACCACCGTTTCTATGCTGTTTCCATGATTCTCCAAGAACCGCCGCACTGTCCCTACAAACACATTTGTTTTGGTTTGTTACAAGATAACACAGACAAATAACAGCAAATCTGTAGTTTACAGAGAACTGCAATTTTTCTAAGACTAAGAAGAGGATGAAACCAACTGAGATGCGTCCTTTTCTGTGGTGTGGACCTGTAGTCGTGTATTTAAGTGAACAAACCTGAACAAACATTTTGCAAACAAGCAGAATATTTGCCACATATGGTTCTCTTTGGGTGTTCACTGAACTAATACACTCAACTATGCCCCGTGTATATCCAGTCTTACATTCAGTTCAGGTTTTGTGGTTATTTTACAGCCAGTAGTAGCTTTAACTCCAGAGGTGAGTAAGACTTCTGTTTGAGTGGATCTGAGTGATTTCAGGGTGGCAATCTAACCTCTTAGATTAAATTCCACTGTTTTGAATTTGGGCCGATTACAAGCTTGGGGAGTTCAATTTTCCAAAGGGGTCACATGAGAAATCGGGATTTTGGTGGAGGGCTGCACCGATAAACTTACAAAGAGAGGTAAAAAAATAAGAAAATATGACTAAAATAAGTGTCACTCCAATAAAAACCTGTGTGTGTCTGTGTGTCTTACTCAAAGCAATGTGTGTTGCATCCTCCGGAGGATAACCTCTTTTGATTGTGGTCACCACACAGAAGCCAACTGATGCCATTGACTGCTCTCTGTGGTGAAAAATGAAGAAATACAGTCTCACATACTGCACATCACATCTACAGTACACACCGACTATACAATGTCAAATGTGACATACATCATTCCCAATATGTCTACATGTTGTCAATACAAACAATGGTTCAATATAGCACCTTCAGATCCCTCTATTGACCTTGAAGAAAGGTCAGAGGTCAAATGTGACATGATATTTTAAACCTTCATATGGCACTTTCTATATGCTGACAATACACAAAGTTCTCGGGCTTTTCATCAGTTTTTGACCAATAAGTCATTGAGTTGACCTTGAAGATCTTGGTGGAGACAAATTTAAGACAAATTTGAAGGGATTATTATGGACCCCACTCTACACACCTACAAAGTTTTCACAGTTCATCCAGAACTTACTGAGCTGTTGTGTTTATAAACAGAATGACACTACCAAAAACATAACATCCTTGATGGAGGTAAAAATGTAATTCCATGTAAAGAAAATGCTGGCAGCCGTCAGTGCTTCCCCTCAGTTTTCTAGTAGACAAACCTATAATATCAATTCGAAAGTCCTAGGTGACCTACGCGAGTTATCGCATTTGCAAGATTTTCAGAAAACTTGTCCTCTGACCTTGAGTTTGAGATTCAAATTTCCCCAAGATTCTTAGTACATACATGTATGGTATTCATTTAAAACTCCTGCCATGTTCTGGATTTATCACATTCACAAACTCAGGTGTCCATGCTGCCTGCCCACCTGAGGGAGGCGTGACAACAATCTCTGACCAGCCTTTTTACAGCTGAGGGGTAAAAACAAAACACTAAATACCTCCAGTACTATGTCTGTGAAGGTTCTCAGTCATCCAGGTCATTGTAGTCAAAGGAGCTTGCAAAGAAAAGCGTCTGGACTTCTTTAAGTTGCTTGAAGACGTTTCACCTCTCATCCGAGAAGCTTCTTCAGTTCTAAGGTCAAATGGTGGAGAGTCCCAGATATAAACCTAGTGGGAGTAACCCCCCACAGAGGGACAAAAGGACCCCTGATGATCCTCTAATCGCCTGAGCCAAGGTGTGAAACTGGGTGTGGGTCCCAATCAGCCAGTTTCACACTTTGCAAGCTCCTTTGACCTCCAGTACTACTATTTAAATTTTGCCAGTCTGACTTTTTCATTTCTTTTTTTGTCTTAGTGGGTTCAGCCTTCTCCCCTAAATCATCATCACTGCTCTCTCCACTTCATCATATACTGCAAACATCTATATCACCAAGTAGATCAGGACAGAAACGGCACAATCTGGTCTGTGAAATATTGATTAGGAAATTGTGGATTTTAATCTGAAACACTGTTTTTTGGGGGGGTTGTTTTTAATTTATCCAATGAGTTCATATTTTACAGATGGATTTAATGTTTTTCCATCAACTTTTAAAACAGATCCAACTTTTCTAAAATCAGTGTTTCTGTAATCTGAAAAGCTGGAAAGCTCCGTCACTTTCATTCAGTGACTGTTTGCTGATGCTTTCTGACAGAATGAAACAGGTGAAAATTGTGAAAGTCCGATTACTGCCAAGTTTAGCACGTGGGCTGAATTATAAGTTGCTGATTCTTACGCAGCCAGCTGCATGATGTTTCTGTAGCAGCTGTATAGTGAACTCTCTGCTGCCGTCCTGTATTTGGCTTTGTACTTTGGCCCCACGGTGTGGATGATGAACCGCGCCGCTAGGTTGAAGCCCTTGGTCAGCTTTGCCTCCCCGGTGCGACATCCTGGACACAAACACACAAAAAGATTATTATATTTATTATTACATGTTAAAAATAAACTCTCATGACTGTTGATCCAGCAAATACACATGTGAATCAGAGAGCCGACAACTGAGTTCATGAAAGAGAAAACTGTTTTCCTTTGACAATTAAATTTGCTGATTAAATTTTCTGGTATGCTAACCACACAGAGGTTTTTATTTTGAGCACCAGCTTCTTCAAATACTGCATCTTAAAGCATCAATATATATATAATAATGTATATATTTTTAGGTGACGTTTTTTGATGAAAAGACACTTCCAGTGTGTCGGGGTGAACACCAGTAACTTGACCTTTTTTTGTACTTGGGACGTCTGAAAAGCCAATCTCAAAAACACTGGCACACATCCACAGTGATGCAGATAATTGAATAACAAACCCAGACATCTTTGCAGGGTTCAAATCTGTATTTGTTCCTTGAAATTGGAGCTCAAAGTTCAAAGCATATTACTGGAAGCAATTCTGCAGAAAGTAGTTCCAGTGAAAACTGGGCTCCTGCTTCTAAGTAGACCGTCTTTAACAACAACGGCTCTGTTTCTGGAAACAATGTTTTAGATGACTTTGAAAATGAAATGAAAATGCACAATGGTGGTGAAAAGTCAGAATCAGAGATCTCATCTCAGCTCTAACAATCTCATTTGTACGATCAAGAAGCCAGAACATTTGTGTGTTATCAGTACTTTCAGCAGCTGTAGAGACTTGATAAAAGTTACTCTGTATTAGAGTGCCAGCGGTAGTGCCAGCGTGATATCAGGTGACTGGTTATATTTAACACTCCCAGTGATATCTCTGAGAAGACCAAAGTGAAATCAAGCTCATTTCAGCAGTTTAACCATCCATGTCTACCTTTGAGTTTAAGCAGCTCGTCTCGGAGCTCGGGTCCTGCCAGCTGATGGATGCTGTCAGACGTGGGGTTCTTGTCGTTTAGCGACTCGTTGCTGGTGTTCACGACGGCGGTGCAATTCAGCAGAGCAATGTCACCAACACTGTGGGGAAAGAAAAACAATCTATTAAAACTATACAGAGTAAATACGAATGATATGGCGTATAAAAAAAACGTTGTGATGTCATTTTGCCAAAGATGTTGTCCACTTTTTTTTGCCATAAAACAATGTTTTGTATAAGTTTGTTATTCTGTATTTTCTAGGTGTGGAAATGTTTTGGACAAGGACGCAATTTTTGAATAGTTTGATGCTGTATGCAGCTACAGCAGATTTACAATGAAACAATAAAGATGCAATCTAAATGCAAACTTTGAGCTTCAATTCATGCGGCTGAAGAAAACTTTTATAACGTAACGCATTTTCAGTCAAAGTGTTTAATGTGCCCACATTCACTGAATATGGGATAAAAGCACCGTACAGTATGTATGTCCTACACATACACATTAACTGGAGCAGGTATACTGGACTATAGCATGCATTATATTTTTAATCTCATCTCTCTCGAACAATATTTTGTATGGACAATCATGTTTGAGTCATCATACGTTTCCAACATCACCCCTTTTGGGAACACCGTTGTACCTACACGGTTAAACAGAAGGCTAGTCTATCGTTGTTTTTGGTCTGAATTAGTATAAGTGAAACAAAGATATCCTCAGTATGTTGAAAGTGTTTCACGCTACAGGCTCCAGAGGTGCCAACATCAAAGGATCAGAAAGAGGAAATCTGCTATTTGGTAATGTCTGTGGGTTTGAAACTTTTTACAAAGAACAAAAAGAAAAAACTAATTCACTGGGTTTTTTAAAAAGTATTATTTGGGTAACTCATCCATTTGAGTACTGTGAGAATGATGTTTTTGCACAGTCACTTGGAAATAGAAGCTAAAAATCTGCACTTTATTGTTGCATTTTAAAAACTATTGTGTTGACACAGAGAGTTTAAATTATGAAAACTGTGCCACTGTCCGAACATTTCAACACCCAATTGTACTTCTACTGATGTTCATTATCCAAGTTGCTTTATGTGACTTTTATTGACAGCCATCACCAGGCCCCAGTCACAGCACAGTGGTAACCAAAGACTTTTTCTTTACCTCTAACAGTAACAGTGACCGACGGATCCAACATACTGCAAACATTTAGACCTTGAAGACATTTGGCGAAACTTTAATGCTTATTTTAATACCTGAAGTCAACTCTTTGTTCAGAAGCCCTTCAGGTTGTGTTAGGAAAAAACAATGAGGAAATGCATGTGTTGACAGTGTTTGATCACAAGACATATTCAGCAACCAGGACCACGGAGGAAGAGTTGTGTATTTTTTTTGTTCAGCTCATTCCTCCTAGCTCAATTACAGATGAGTCACCAAATCAAGTCAAGCAGGATGCCTGCAAACAACAGTGAAACAGATCTCGTGCGAATCCCCTGTTCCTGTTTTGTCAAATGCTAGCTTCTGTATTAAGTCGTAGAGCAGATATATCCCAAACTAATGAAACGTCCTCTCCCCATTTATGAACAAAGTCATTTAACAACATATAGTACCAGGTGTGCGCTATCAGAGTATCCACGAAAAGCACAAGTTCATTTTAAAACAATAAAAATAGCAACACATTGACAGAGTTATATCATGACTATGACATAAATCAACAAACATTACTTACAGGAAGAGTAACATTGCTACAAGATTCTGTGAAGAACTTCAGTGTGATGATGCTTTGAGGTCCAATGACATTGACTCTGACATTTAAAACAACCATAAAGTAAATAAAATAGAATAATTTTTTCTTAATTACTCTATAAATGACTTTCTGTCAAAAGAAATGAGCCAACAGCTCTTTATCTATTTAATGAGACACTATTAAGACTTTCAATACCTTCAGATACCTTGCTTGGACTTTACTTTTTAACCACCATGGGTTTAAAAGTAAGTTTGAAAAAGTAGTGAAAGAATGAAAATCTAAGCTGTAGTCATATGGAACCTCTGATATTAGCTCAAAAATAGACCCCTTTGTCATTCTAGCTGCTGGAAGGGTTAAAAGCACCACTGCTCGAGGGTCAATTGCGCTCAAATCCTGGTCATGCTATTGTGGCAGGAATGTGCGTGCTCTTGATGACTGCTCAGGGGAAGGCTGGCACCACAACAAGGCTCCTAAAGAAAAACTGCTGCCAAGTCGGGCTCCACATAGTCATGCGTTTCTCTACAAAGAAGATTTACGAGGTTATGGACTCTGAACAGGTTTGTATGAGCACATGGACACACAAGCAGCATTTACTACTACTACTATATGATACTGCTAATATCAATACATTAATATTACTGCCCTTTTTTAGGATGTATCTAGGATCACACACTTTGCTTAAATGACAGATGATTGATAGCGATTACCAGAATACACAGATATGCATCCAAAAGTGTGTTTGGATTAAGCAGCCAAGTGCTCAAAGTCACCCACTGTGAGTTGGGTTCTCTTTGGTTAAGGTGGGTGGGAATACACACTCTGACAGGTAAAAAGTGAAACTTTTGTGGGCATTGATCTGATTTACTGATAGTTTCGGTATGATTGGTCACTTTCACAAAAGCAATGACACACACAGCAGCTGTATCTTACTGCAAAGAGCAGATGTTAAAAAAGAAGAAATTTAGTATGACATACTTACAAAAAATACATCATATAGACCACCAAAACCAGTTAAAGCTACAAGGTAAAAATACTTTCAAACTTTAGTTATTTCATTGTGACATTTTTGCTTGAATGACTATATGATTCTGTGTCTATCTTTGTTAAGCACTCACTAACTGTGTAGGAAGAAACCGTGGCTGACGTTGTGACCTCTTATGAAAAAGACAGATTTCTACAGAGCAGCAACAATGTGAAGAAACAGCGTGACTCACAAGAGGATGATCTTGCGGTTGATATCTGGTCTGTAGGGGAAGGGTGAGGGGAAACTCTGGCTGAGCATGCTGTGGCTCCGGACCAGCCGTTTCTCCTCGCCGTCATTGTCCAGCTGCTGCTGCCATGTGGGAAGAGTCTGGATATCCACAAACTGGGAGCGAGCACCCAGAGGATCCATCCCCATCTGGCACTACAAGCCTCGAGAGGATCACCAACTAGCTGGGCTGCAAGTACAAGATAAAGTCATTTGCCTATTTCCAGTGTCTCCCTGTGGCTTTGACAGACAAAAAAATAAAATAAAAATCTAGATGATTGTGGAAATGAACAGTGCTCGTTTGCTGTGCTTTTGAGAAGATCTGCATTTTGGTTTATTTTCACAGGTAATCAGTCTATCCTAGCTGTGATCGGGCCACAGGTCACCAGTATGTTGCAAGGCTAACACAGAAAACCTGACAACCCATTTATGTTCACATTTATGGCCACATTAGGATCACTGATTGGCCTTAACCCCATAAATGACTCGGGGAGGAAGCTGGAGCACCCACACAAACACAAGGAGAACACAGAAAGGTGCAGGCAGGGAGAACTAACTGGCAAAAATGACATTATCTTTGAAAACTTGAAGGGTAAAAACAAAACCTATGATTTTGTTAAACATGTTTCAAGTATTGGATCTTTGTGCAAAACCCAGTTCAAGGGTGTTCCAGTCTCCTGGAGGTGGCTCTGGCCTCCAGAGACCTGTTTGGTGGCTATGAGGACATTAGATCATCAAGAAGACCTAATAAGATCACTTAACAGAGCAGTTACCTAGCACATGAAAAATAAATTCAGGTCTGAAATAAACCGTTTAGAATAAAGAAGTGTTTAAAAATTCAAACCTATAAGACTGAGATGTTATTTTTTCTATGCAAATACATATGTAACATGCATCCTGTTAATCTATCTAATAAACTGATCTGTAGGAGTCTGTAATGGAACCACATTTTTACTATGTCAGTATGTCAGTGACCTACATAGGTTTTACTTATCTCCGGGTCTTCAGACAGTACAAAATATGCACGTGACTCTGAGTTCAACCTCAACGTTGGCAATACACAACTGTCAGACAGACAGCACTGCTGAGCTCGGCCAGCTGTTTTAACAGCACACATTTCAACCTGGCTTACTGAAACACTTAAAGGAACTCAGGAATCATTATTACAAATAAGCTTTCCCGGCAATGAAAAGTCAAGATGTTTGTCATGAAGCAGGTCTACGGATTAGAGAGTAGAAAACCAGCTGTCGATTCCCATTCCTAATAACGACCTGGAGTAAAGACGGACCTTACAAACTACATGCACGGCTGCCACCAGTCTGATTCCAGACACACACATCAGACTGTCTCTGATTTACGGCGGCAAACTCAACAAGAAACCCTCATTTAATAACATTATCACCAGATAAAAGCTGGGCGCTTCATTGAATACACGTATGACAGTAGTCCCTTTGTTCACACATGTAACACCATATAAACCCCAGCTCGAGATAAAACCATGTCATGAGCACGACAAAACTCGTAAGCCTTAAATAAGTTCAGTGTAACGCAGAAAGTTATTTTTAGTAAGCGGTCGAGCTGTTTTTGTTTGTAATTGGCTGCTTTTCTTGCTGTTAATTTGTGGCAAATTGGATACTTTTACTTACTTTTTGTAAATTAAATAAGCAGTTTGAAGACATGGCATTTGGCATGTTACTACTCCATTAGCTCTGTAACAGCTGCATTTCATTAAAATAATCAAACACATGTGTGATAAGCATCCGTCACAAGAAATTAATCGTCTGTCTCTTACCATGTAAACTTCTTTCTCTTCCGAAGCATTTCTATGTCAGGCCAGAAAAGCAATAGTCTCTTTATAAATCGATAAATAGTGCACTTTGGTCAGAGTGTTTCAGAAACCAAACAGACAGTTACCCACCTAGCAATGTATTTCCTTTACAGGGGTGATGTCACGCCAAAATTATAAAAGGAACAATTAATAAATCTTGACACGACACCATATAAAATCAAGACGTGATGTTCATCCTCAGGGTCCTCATACTAACAAGCACAAATACTGCAAATGCAGTCAAAAAGTAAGTTTCAAAGTGCCAATTACAAGGATTTGCACATTTAGCAACCATGCTAAGAGCTGATTGTTGCGGCGTAAAGTCTGGAGTATTAAAAGAAATCAACATCCCGTTAGGCATTTCAAAATAAACTTCTAGAAATGTTTTCATTTAACTACATTTCAAAAACTACATTTCATATAAACATGACAACTACATTTTCCCATTTTCTTTGACCTAATTCGTTCATTTCTGAACATAAACGTGTCTGCTTGCATCTTTTTGATCTAACTTATTACATTTATTTCTCAAGTGTCATTAATAAAGTGCTGTGGATGATTAAAAACGTTTCTGCTAGGTGCTTGGATTAAACAAATCGAGTGACCTCCTGCATTTAAAAAACACCCAAAACATATACCTTTCCTTTAATAGGGTACAAATGCACCTTGTTAAAGAATTTCTTCTGTTTTAGTCCCTCCTTTAGAAAAAGCCAGTTAGGACTCCATTAATTATGTGTTTCATTAATTTTATCATTATCAAGTAGTTAGTGAAAGTCTGTTCTCCCTCTCTCTACAGTGGCGGTCCCATGTATGTGTTACATGTTGGAATTACAAACGAAATACAATGCCATGTGAGTATGATTATTCTGACCTTTCAACTATTTTTTAGAGTATGTTTAATGTATTTTTACTCTGTTCTTTATAGTTTTCTGTCATGTCTATACTCTCCTATTAAAATAGCACACGCTTTTGTTTTGTATAGGTTAGACAAACACTTTTCCGGTGCTATTCACGAGCTCGTTTTATTTTTCCGGTGCTAGTCAGCTGACTTAAAAAAACACTTCCGGTATGGTTGCTTAGGGATCACTGTGGAGTCACTTTATTGATGTAAACCGCAAAAATCATTGGCTCTAAGCCAGACGTCTCTGTCCAAAAATTAAACAAACAAAAACGAGTATCTGTAAAGACCTAATATATTATTTTATTTTGGACTGTACATTCAAAAATGTATAAAATGTCTTTTTTTGGTATTGCAGTCAAAAGCAATAGAAAGAGCGCAATCGAGAAAACAGAGAAACAGAAAGGTTTCTTTGACTCGCAGTTCACTGCTAAAATCCTATCTAAATATTTAAAAAATATATATATTTCCAATAGACTGTATCTGTGTGCATAGTTTTATAGGCAAACCAGCACTGCATGGTATTGTTCTAGTAACGATTTGTGATAGATTGGTTGGGTCTGAAACAGCAGCCGAAGTCAGGCACTTCAAGGTAGTTGCTAGTTGCCACACTTCAAAGGTAAGAGGACCAACATAGACGCTTTACATTGACGAAACAAACGCAAATGTTGTATATAACGTTTAGAGATATACATTTATGTTATGGTTACTTTTATTAAGTACAATTATCCAAGAATTGTTTTACCACGTGGGTCTAGTTACTGAGTATCATGCTTAGGCACACTCGATTTGGGTCAAATTTGTCTCCGGGCGGGCGGAGGTTGACGTTGTCGTGTTGAGTCAAATGTCAGAAGCGTAAACCGGCAACTCTGCCTGCAGTTTTGTGTACTAAAACGAACGTACCCGTATCTTCGAGGACTGATGTGCTATACCTTGCTACACGTTTACTAAGTAGTACGTATTTTTGGTGTATTATTTTAAAGCAGGATTTGCAAATTATGAGGAAAGGACATAAAACGAAGGAATAGACCAACAACATTGAATCGACACTGCAGAAATAAAGGCCGTAGTTCGACACATTATAAACAATACGAAAATACTTTACACCTCATTAATACGGAATAGCACACTAAGATCAGACATGTATTAAGTATGTAGTGTCTTATGCTGGTATAAAACAGAAAACCTTATTTTTGAAAACTGTGATATATTTAATACGCATACGTGGTAGATTATATATATTCTAGATAGCAGGGACAAATTACAGCACAAATTAAACTATGCTATATAGATAAAGATTCGTCATTTTATTGCTGTAAATATCTATTAATATGTGGACTCTTGGGTACATTTGATATACAATGTATTTCGTCTTTGTTGTCATGATGGAAAGCATGCATTGTCAACGATGTTTCCATTTTTGTGGCAACATTTGCCAACAGTTGCACAAACAGAAAGCCAGGTCCTTAAAAAAGAGAGGGATGCCCTGATTGTGTAAATGTGGTTTAGTACCAAAGTTTAAAATGGTTAATGTTTACAGCAGTTTATGCCTTCTGTTGTATCTGGAAACTGGTTTTTCATATAAAAACTATTCACGATCTTCCCCACACTATATTGGAACATTTAGCACAGGAGGCGTCAAAGCCACTTTAGGATGACATGATAACTAATAACATGTGGGTGTAATGTTCAACTTTTCAAACAGTGTTATAAAGATAATAAAACAGTTTTCTGTATTATCTTCATGAAAATGTAGACTTCAATATCTAGCAGAACATGCTGAACTCTGAACTTGTCTTAAATGTATTCAGACATTATGTAGAATCAGGTGGAGCCAATCAAGCACTGAGTCTCTGTTTTTCTTCCGTAAAAGATGTGCACAGTAAATTTTTCTCCTGTGCTCTGGTGTGAAACAGGATTCAGCATCACCTTAGCTGCTGGTCATGGGTTTGACCAAGCAGTACCTGCGCTATGTTGCCAGCGCCGTTTTTGGGGTCATTGGCAGCCAAAAAGCCAACATCACGTATGTGACCCTTCGAGGAGGGGAGAAGGGGCGCTATGTGGCTGTGGCTGCATGTGAACATGTTTTCATCTGGGATGTTCGAAAAGGAGAGAAGGTGAGGTTCAAGTGTGATTATAGCAATGCGACAACTCATATCCAGGTACACTTCAGATTTTATCTGTTCTTATCTTTATTCTTGTCATCTCTGTGTGTGTAGGTCCTGATCCTGCAGGGTCAGAAACATGAGGTGACCTTTCTCTGCCCTTCACCTGATGGAGTTCATATTGCCGTGGGTTACGAAGATGGTGCAGTAAGAATCTTCAGCCTGCTGAACGGTGAGAGCAACGTCTCCTTCAACGGCCACAAGTCTGCAGTCAGCGTCATACACTATGATGCACTCGGGGCGAGACTTGTTACTGGCTCAAAGGTGAGTGTGGCAGGTTGCTCCTTGGTTTTGTTAAGTGTTGACGTGATTCTAAACTCGACATCAAAGTGACAACAGTTACACGAAAATAAAGGTGTTTATATAAATGGAAGATAAATTGGAGGTTTGTTTGTTGAGTGGTTTACTTTGCCTTTAAAAATGCTTTTTTATTTTACAAGATGGACTGTGAGTTGCAAGGAATCACCTCAGTTAACTGTTTACTCCTCTCTTAGGACACAGATGTGATCGTGTGGGACATCATCAATGAGTGTGGGCTGTACAGGCTGAGAGGCCATAAAGATGTCATCACGCAGGCCCTGTTCCTGAGAGACAAGAACCTCCTCGTCACATGGTAGGACACCGTGATGTTTACATTGTGTCTCGTCTACTGGATTGTGTATTTGAAATGGAGGTTTGAAAAGCTAATTGTGTGCTCTGCCCACCGTATAGCTCCAAAGACAGTTTTGTCAAGTGGTGGGACTTGGACACACAGCACTGCTTTAAGACTATGGTGGGCCATCGCAGTGAGGTGAGATGCTTCTTTCTCTGCATTTAGTCCAAGTCCGTTTGTGGAATTTCTTCCCTTCTAGATATTCCACACATGTATGACTAGGGCTGGGCCAGATATTGTTCACAATAAAACCCCAACAATCAGACAACCTCCTCTGAACTTGCCAAGAATGGAAAGAAAAAAACTCCCTTTTAATAGGAAGAAGGTTGCAGCAGAATCATATTCTAGCCTTCTGCCACGATTAAGATTTTGTAAAAGGGAGCTACTTCAGCAACCTCTAACAAAGTGTGATGCTTTACAAAATGTGCAAGAAAACGCTTCCTGGTGACGATGGAAACAACAAACTTGAGGCAAAAACACACCATCAAGTACAACCAGGCTATGAAGGAGGAGATGCTAACAGCTGATGATGTGCAACCCAACATTAAACAAATGACTCACCTGAGCAACACTGAAGCACTTGCTACTTACACTCCATATAACAAGAAGCACAAACAGTGGATGGAAATTACTGATGCAATCTCCTGGTGCTAAAGGAGGAATTTAAGTAACTGGTTAAAAAGGTCGACCACATAGTACCAGAGAAAACACTAGCTGGCCTGCTTTTGTGCTTACATTTGACTTATGCTGCGTCACTGCATGTAATGCTGTGTCACTGCTATTGGGCTATAATGTGGCTGCTGCTGGCAGTAGATTCACATTTTGAATTGGGTAGTCTATCTCTAATGACAGTAACTCATCACAAGAACAGCATGTTTAATACCTTTTCTTTTGTTTGCACTAATAAACACTGCTGGCTGTAAGCTGCACTCATTGATACAGCATTTATTGAGTATTTTTTGTTCTTTAGTGTCAGAAATATCATTATTTCCTTGACATCTTGTGATAGCATTTTGAGGTAATATCACCCACACTGAAGCTGCAGCGCACAGTGTGGTTCCAAACCTGCTCTGGCATTAACCTCAGGACAAAAACTGTGCACTGGGAGCTTCATGGCAGGATTTTCCATGGCCAAGCAGTTCCTGTAGGTGTACTGTGCAGTACTTTGGTCCATATAGTGGAGCTCTTGTGACTAGCTGCTTTCACTGGAAGGAAATGGGGATTATAAGAGACTTTCCACTGGAATTTTAATGTTTTTCCTGGATTATTAAGATGACTCGATGTTTTTGTTTTAAATGTGTGTGTGTATGTTAGGTTTGGGGTATGGTGTTGCTGAGCCAGGAGAGTAGGCTGTTGACGGGCTCTGCAGACAGTGAGCTTCGAGCCTGGGACATCAACTACCTGGAGGAGGTGAGAAAGGACTCAGCTGAGCACTTTTTTCTCTTCCTCCCCCAACTGCCCTTTACTGAAAAAAGACAATCAGAGAGAAAGCAAACAGTTTTTCTTGAGATCCTGGAGTCTCTCCCCTAATGTGCGATGCTTTACTTTCTATGAAGATGTCATGTTTTGCTTTCATTTCCCTTTTGTATTATTTTGCCTGTAATTTTACACAACACGGGCACTTTT